TGAAGAACGCGTGACCTATTATTTCGTACAACCCGTACAGGATTTATGTATTCGCATTGGGATTCGAAGAAATCGTCTGCGGTAAAAAACTCGATCAAAACGATAATGTCAATTCGATATTTTCGATTTAATACCTAATATTATAGATTTACAGTTATAATATCGGACCACAGTCATCACGCGCGTGAGCGTGCTGAAAACACATCAACATTAAAATATTAATTCCTACTCGCGCTTTGCAGCTGTGAAACGCTACAATATTATTATAACAATACTAATAATAAAAATAATAATAATAATGAAGTGTTATACCTCTATACCTGCATAATTCTTAGTGTTTATGAACTATACGTACATGATTCGATAGCAACGGCAGATTTTGATCGATACGTCGATCGATGAACGAATGAACGAACAGGAAACCACTTCAATTATGTAAATGCATCGGTCGGCCGGCCGGCCGGACGGACGGACGACGATCATCAATCGAGTTCGGCGTTTTCCCCTAAAACCCCGTTGCGGGGGGGCCACCGCCGCCGCCGCACCTCCCCGCGGACGCCCCGCTGACGCGTCCCGCCCCGCCCGACAGTCCATCGTACCGCTCAGCGGCAGTGCGGTATTATAATATACGATATCCGCGCGGGGCCAATATGTCACACACCCAGCGGCCGCATTCCGACACCTGACGTCGACCAATCAACGGTCGCGGATAACGCTCGCGCCGCACACGGATATAATATACAATATAATAATATTGTGCCCGCGCGCGGATAGATACTTATCTCGTCCGAGGCTTGTCAGAATGCCACTCACAACGCGGCGGCGGCAGATACCTGTATACCGTATTATAATACACCTCGTCGTCGAATATAATACAACAAAACGTGTACAAAATAATATACGCCACGCCATGTGAATTCACTCGGGTGATTAATGATCATCGTCGCATATAGTTGTCGAAGTCGTCGATCGCCGTGTAGTCGTCGTCGTCGTCGATCGTCGCCGTGTGCCCTTTTTAATTTTTTTTTTTTTCTTTACGTATACTCGGCGACTGCGTCAGGAGAATCTAATTACGTGTACACGATAAATACGCGCAGATTAGGTACACCTCTCATACATATATACATATATAGATCTGGAGTCGTAGACAATATGTATATATAACCGTCGATTCGGCGGTGAAATGGCTTTTTAAAATATTATATTATTACATATTATTATAAGTCCACCTGTCTATAATAGTGTAAATAGTTTTTTTTTTCATTCTCGCACTCGCTGTCCGGTCATGAACTCTTTTTGTACGAGTACTGCGCGGCAGTGCACATCGCGGGACGGTCTCCGCTTCAGAAAGGTCTGTGGCCTTATGACGTATCTACGTATATACTGCACGCGCGCGCGCATACACATCGCTCACCGCTGCACCGCGGCCGATAATATGAATTCTGGTCGAAAACAATGAGCTCTCGACGTACAACACACACCGCCGTCATAATGATTTTATATAACATTATATAATTGTATACAAAACGAAATCCCATTAGAACCGCGTACGTTAATAAAATAATAAACCATATCCCACCGTTGAGCCGGAGACTTGACGATGACGCTATATTAAGCGGGCGGTTAACGACCGACGGTAATCGCGTCAGGACCGTTAGGTTAAGGATATTATTCGTCACTTTACAACACACGCGCGGTGTATATAATATAACACTAGCGCAGAAAAACTGGGAAATGCAATGGCTTGGCATGCAATGAAGAGTAGAGTGACGTGTTGTATATCAGCCCGTTCCGTCACTGCGAGTTATTTTATGTCCGGGAAAACGAGAATAATATAATATTATAATAAGCAAAAGTACTACCTAATAATAATATTACCGTATACGGCAGGAGTGGCGGTTGAATTTAATATGTTTGCCGTGCGGTGGCTGCAAGTCGAAAATTATATCTTAACTTCCTTGGACAACTATAATTTCCGTCGTAGATTACGAAACAAGTACCTATGGTAACTAGCAATACTTTTTATTCTACATTTTTACAATATTCGGCTGAATTAAATGAACTGCAACTCAAATGGTCGGACATCACTTGTTCCGTGTTCGTGTACACATATATATTACAGTTTACAGTGTATAACACAGACACGTCCCCAGGGCCGGATCAGTTGCAGCCAGGATTGTTTATTTTCCAACTTTAATAATACGATGTGTTACATTATTACCTATATCGGATCTACCGCTTTACGACGTTTCATTTCGGATGCGGTGCAGACAAAATCAAATAATTATTTTAGCTGCTGCTGCTACTGCGTTACTAAAACAATAAATTATATAGTGGAATCGCAGACATGTACGTGTACGTTGACTACAAGAGCTAGATGTTTAAAACTAAAATAGTAGTCAAATTTTTAATCTTCGTGTATCATAGGCAATAAACTAAAACATCATGGCGCGCTAAAATATATTTTAATGTTTCCACCGAGTCACGTTTTTTATTGCATTCACTGCGAATTTTTGTAGATATGTAACAGCCACTTACCTGCGATTAACATTTATTGTCTTGATAGTCGTTATCATCATATTTTACACAGTATTGATTATGTGTATGATACAGCTTATTTCTTTACCTATAATTTTGGTTTGGAAAGTATTGTTATAACTTATAACTTACAACGTTTGAAACAATGCGCTGTGAACTCTGGCTTTCGTCTATTAGTGCTATGACCAACATCATAATATTAGATTAAATTATACTATATTTCGACTTTATACATAATATAATATTAAATCAGTCACGTATGATGTATATACGTCGTTAATATTCACATCGCGTGTCCAAAGATTTATAATCGATTGTATTACATCTGTGTAAACACACAGACTGTTACATGATTGTGTTTACAGTCTTTCGGAAAAACAAGTCATGTCTCCGCGTGACGATACACATATAGAGGTACCTAGTACCTACCACGGATAAGAATAACGAGAATCGACCATTTGTTCCGTACAGCAACATAATTATAATTAGTTTCACTAAACGTATTAACCGCAGAGAGGTCTATAATATGTTTCGCACGCTGCAGTTTAATTATTTTTGTATTTCATGTCATTACCTGCTATTTACGTAAACGTATGTACAATAGTATTTCGAGACTTTAACGACTGCCTAATTTTAAATACCTACTCGATTTAGTAATTATACACTAAAATTATATGTGTGTATATATACGTATATATAAAATGTTATATCTATTGCATAACGTATTTTAAAGCCGTGCTGTTATTATTATTACTAATGCCATCTTTGACGTCATTTATTAATCATGCATTTTATTATTTTTACATATTATTTATTTCAGAGCGAACAGAGCGTCGGTACAAACGATTTCGTTTTAATACACCACATATTATTATTATCATTATTATTATATACGTTTTTTATTGGATCTCGGACGATCATTACCATACCACCGTGTTTTTTCTTCAGCCTTGTCTCTCGATTCAAAATAATCAAGTTTCATATTTTGATTAATTGCTCGTGCACGCGCGTATATTATACATACAAATTCAATCTCTAACAAATTGTCCGTTCTTATTTCAGGCGTCAGTTTGGGTGGGTCGGCTGTAACGATATAATATATTAATCAAAGTTTTGAAACGCTTATTTCTCTAAACACACACGCGCGCGCGTACAACATATGCGTTCTCACGGGCAATATTCGATTTTGTTTTTTAGGACCCTATGCCCGTATTATAGAATAATGCGCGCACACATAATATACATGTATAATATAGCAGGTATGAACATAAAATGATGTATAACAGAAGATCGGATCGAAAACGGCAACAAATCCGAGCACAATATACTCGTAATACGCGTATACGTAGTATTATGTATATATATACCTATATAGTTAAGTATATGTATTATACAGCAGCAGCAGCAGCATTCGTTGATATATACACCCGTGAAGCTTCAGCAATAGTTTCGGATCAACGACCCTAATGCACGTTTCATTATACACACACACACATTACATATATATATCTATTATATTGAGTTTAATTAAGAAAATGACCGTTTATTATACGGAATTGAGAACGTGCGTGCGCATATATATATATAACTGCTGCATTAATGTACGCACATACCATATGTATATATCTATGGTGGGGTAGGAAGGGGGTGGTCGAGAGGGGCTTTTGGCCGACGACAGAGGGGAATAAAAAACGAATCGTATAATATACGTCCGCCACGACCACCACCGCAGCGATTTCGTTCGTGCGCGCCGGACCTCATTACCTTATCACCCGCGCCCCCCTATGGGGCACCTACACGCCGTTTGTGTGCCTACATGGTGCCATACGTATAATAATATGTTTATGCGATCGCAAACGTTGTGTGTTTAATTAGCGAAAAACTTTCAGGACTGCAAGACGGTCGCGACGGGCGCGGGTCGTGCGTCGATCAGAATATTATTATAATGTACGTATAATGTATAGGAAACACATCGTACCGTATATAATATATGTGCCCACAGTACAAATATGCCCAAGTTGCACGATACGGTACGCGTATATTCGTATTATTATCCGATACACGATGCGACGGACGGGAAAATAGAGAGAGAAATAGCGAGATAGATGGACAGAGAGAGAGAAAATCGCTACGAAAATCCGTCGCGTGACGGATCCGCAATAAACGCGTGTCGTCGCCGCCGCACACGTCGCCGTGTCGATAACAAGCGCGGCGTGTATATTATATGTAAGTACGTAAGTGTACTGCACTGCCAGTCCGACTATTACATATTATACGACGCGCGAGCCATTCAACACGCGGGACACGTAATGTTTTATTATTGTTATTATCGGTGGCGTAGCCATACGTGTAATGCGGATAGATAAGATAGAGGGCCTGCAAGGTAATCTATAACCGCGGAATTATTGTTAATTTTTTTTTTTTTTTGCGATCTTATAAAATATAAATATATATTTTTTTAGGGTATACAGGCAACAAAGCAACACCAAAATTCAACATTGAACATTGTTAACTATGATCCAGATTATAAATATTAAAGTATCCGTTTTCGAGAAATTATCCTTTCAACGTTTTCAGATCGTTCGAAATTGAAAGAAGTTAAGTACTTGTCTAAAAAATGTGACCGAAAATGAGATCTCACTCGCAATCACCGTTGTCGTCGTTTCGTTTGATGTTTCTGGAACCGAATAAACGCCAGACAGAAAAAGACCTCTCTGGCTACACGCTATACTGTAAATATCGCTTTACTAAACAAAACATCGGTGTATCATGCTATTAAAACAGTTAAATGGCATATTATACTTTAAATCGTTTAGATCGATAATATCATGTTATATGGTTATTATAACGTGCGTGGACGTACATATTTTAATGGACAGACTGCTACTATTAGTGTTTAAACGAGGTATACTCTAGAGGGGGGATGTCCTATCTTTAATTTAATTTGCCCCTTTACAAACAATTGTCAAAAAAATACTCTTATTAAATAAACATTATTTGTTACGATTTTATTATCTTTTATTATTATTATTATCAATAAATACACATACCGTTCACACATTTTACATCGAAATATTTAGTAACAATCAAATCGTGTTCAATAAAATATTATAATTCGTTTTTATTAATGTTCCAATAGCATATTTGCCAAATCGGAGACAAGACACATTGAGGTATTGTATAAAAATAAGTATCGAAGGCGAAGAAGATCCACCTCAGAAGTAGGTACATCGAAAAATTTAATCCGATTTGCATGTATAAGAAAAAGAATCGTTGCAATTAGATTGATATAATAATAAATTATAGGTTTTATTTGTATAAAATAAATAATATTTTTAATCAAAATATTTAAATTTAATCTTATAAATTGTATAACGTATCAAACGTCAATTGTACCGAAGTTCAAAAGCATCGTAATAAATAATAGTAATAATGTGATAATTGATATTACTGAAATGCATGACCTATTAAAAAAAAGTAAGCCCCTCCCTAAAAAAATTACGCGGATTAAATATTGGTTAGGTACTACATGATCACAATATATATACCTATATATATTGTGTATTATACTATAAACAGTTTTCCCCATTCATTTCGAGCACATATAATATGTCATATCATATCATATACAACATACATACATATTATACGTGTGAGAGTTTATGTGTGTGTGTGTGTACATTTATTATCATAATAGTATGATGTGCGCGTACTCGTATAATATGGAAATTTCATTCATCCGAAAAGTCCCTCTCCCCGCCACTTACCCGTCGGACGTGCAGTTGCACATCACACACGACGATCGTACAGGTTCCGACGACGACGGCCCAACCGGCGCTGCTGTGTGCGTGTGTAAAACGCGTGTTTATGCGCACACCGGTCAAACTTGGAACAAGATAATAAATATTAAACAATATAGGTGTACATGCGCGCGCGGGTGACAGGCTGTAGGCTACCGGACTTGGGGACACATTCTTGGTATACGCCTGCAGTGTACATAAACGCTTGTTTGGTGTGTAAGTGTGCGTGCGCGGCGGTCGACAGCGTTCGGGCCGCGCGGAGAATGCATATAAAAAAGACGGTAAACACACGCATACACGGCAATAATATTATACCTAATAATAATAATAATAATAATATAATGTATACGTTATAAGACGTTATGATAAGTGATTGTGTTTAATTTTTTTTTTTTATTTTTTTTTTTACCGATTTATCTCCATTACCTATACTTCGTTATAGGTACTCATTCGCCGTCGCTGCAGAGATCGGATTTCGTGTTCGGTAAAATTTTAAACGACGTCGCGCGCTTGTTAATTTATTCGTTATGTCCTCCGTACGCTAGCCGTATGATACAATGTTATGATATACGTATAGATAAACATCGAAGTGCTCGCATTTGTATAATATACATATAAATAGCGACAATGATAATAATGACGAAATAATTATAAATTTATATGGACATATGAAATTATGTATCGATCAGCACATGTGACTTAGTGCGCAAACGCGCGTATAATTGTATAGGCGTTTACTTAAATAAGTTTATTATTATTAAATCGTATTATTTAAGAGATCTTTTTTTCGATCATACAGCTGCAAAACCGGGATCGGGTCCTAACTTATATTATTGTATATACATTATCGCGAAGCGTTGTAGGATTTTTTACTTTTTGATTTTAAGGACTCGCCGCTACTGTTCTGAGTGAGTGTTCGTAATTCAAAATATGATATGTTCACCCTGAAAAAAAAGAAAAACGAGGGTGAGATAGTACCAGTCGGTTAACTCCAAATCATTATTACCGTTGTGGTGTCGTCGTCGTCGCGTAGTTACCTACGATATAATAATATATTGTATGTACATGTAATTTTAAGTGCGTCATTAATGCATGTTCCGCAATGATAAATATTACATAAATATATTCTTATACCTAAAGTATGACCTATACGATTTTTATACATAACATTTAAATATATTTCATTGTCTGCTGCGGCGTATCGTATTTATGCGTGAGACAGAACTGCGATCGTAACGATATATTTATCATATGGCTAATATTATGATTTATATTACATGGTATATTATTATATAAGGTAGCACCTGCACATATACTGGTCACATGATGTTACGAGTTTAAGACCGCCTATTTCGTTTCGAATCATATTATTCCGTATCACTATCCTTCGCTCAGACGCTCGCGGGTACTTGTGATATGTAATGAGTGTGTGTGTGTGTGTGTGTGTGCTGTCATCGCTTTTAATTCTAAACGCCCCGTCACGGACGCCGGAACAGGTCATCTCTAATCACATTGGGCGACGACGTCTTTAGTCTTCGTGTGCGTGCGTGTTAAAATAATAATAACAACGTATATCAAGACAAATACTGATGGAAAATTAGGTTCCTGTAAAATATAACTTTATGTGTGCGTGCGTGTGTGTGTGTGATTGTATAGGTACTTGGTACAATTAAAAAAAAACTATCCGAAACGAACTACGTTAAACTCGATAGCGGGTAGATATATCTTATCAATTATTATGTAAACGTTTAACATATTATAATATCATAAATTATACAAAGACCTGACTCAAGCGCATAAATGACCTATTAAATTTATGGTCACCTTAATTCCACTACATTACTACACCCTCTATCACATACCCACATATTTTTATAAACCAATGTTGTGTGGCCATTCGTATGTACTTCACTTACCCATATCATAATATTGAGTAGGTAGTGCACGTTATTATACATCGCGAACACGAATTATTACGTTTCTGGAATAATAATGATTGTTCAGTTGCGTTGACGCGTGTTATAATAATATCTCGGATGGATATTGATTGACCTCTTTCACCCTTCCTTCATCAATACTGCACTCACACTATGACAAAAAGCCAAAACTATGAATCGTGTAAAAATTATTAAAAAAAAAAATCTATTGTTGCGAAGAGTGATATACTCGTTTGTTTACAATCCATTTGTGAGTTATACGCTATAATATACGCATATTATATTAAATATTATTACGTTTCACAACCAACTAAATTGATGAGGAGAATAATATGACGATAATTGGTAACATATTCTGTCGTCGTTACTGATCGACGTATGTATATGCTACAAATATTAATGTTGTGTCTAATGAATATACGTCGATTGAATGTTCGAGACGACGAAAATGATTAAAACACATAAAAATATACGAGTAGGTAATGCAATATTATTATGCGATAAAATTATTTTAACGCCAAATACGCGTTAGACGAACAATTATAAGATACTTATTGAAGTTATTATTGTCTCCAAATGGGCGTCTTAAACTCTTAACTGTGTGTACCCATTACATAATATATGAAATTATAAACGTAAATAACAAAATATGGATTTGTATTTACTAAAAGTTATAAAAATACGCAATACACGTAAAAAAATTGATTTCACTTGATTCTAAAACAATAATATAAGATTTATGTATGCTATAAATTTATATATATATATGTGATGAAGAATATATTCTAACATTTTTTATTTTTAAATAATGGTTTTTAACTGCTAATTACATAGGTACCTATAATTATTTTAATTCGTTATTATAACATTAATTATAAAATGACCTATTTTTCATAGTAATGATAACTTATAATTTATAACTATATTTTTTAATATTATCAAAGTTTCTAAACTTAGAAAATATTGAGAACAATCTTAGTGCACACATTGTACTATTTAGTAAGCAATTTCACATCGAAATCGTGTCAAGTCATATAATATACGATCGTATTTTAACGGAAGACGATATAATAAAGATGCTACGAGTGAAAAAAAAACATAATATCTTATATTGCACAGTCATCTTGATATCTGCGCTGTAGACGTTCTTTAAAAATCATGCACGTTAAATTTATCACCGATAGGTAATAACTGTATTTTAAATAATATTTATAATGCTTATAAGTAAAGGGCTAGGATTTAAATTTAATAAAAAATTGTAAAATATGCATTTGGTTTATTAAAAATATGCAAAAATATGCAATTAATATAATATACATCAAAAAATATGAAATATACACTTGAAAAAAAAAAATCATACGTTTTAAAATTAAATAATATTCTTAATTATTTACGCTATTCAAATGTATTTAACAAAACAATTTCATGGTGTTTTAAACTTTCAAAATTGGACAGTATTCTGTTAGACCTTAATAGGTATACCTTCAATAGGTATTTTTGAACAACGTCAATACATATACTGTTGCGTGATAAAAATGCCTAGTAATGAAATATACCATAAAATATACATTTTTCGCGTTTTTATAGTCAAAATATGCAATGATATTAATTTTATTCAAAATATGCAATAATATGCATATTTTCAAAAATATGCAAAATAAAATCACCATTGTTTATCTCATCATGAGGTAATTCGTGGACATAACATACAAAAGCAATAATCAGAAGTTGCAAAAAAAAATATATTGTTGCATATAAATCCTAGCCCTACTATTATAAGGATCTACTTGTAATAAAAATTATAGTATAGTAGTATTATACAATATATTGTAAAACGAGCGAAACGCAAATAAATTGCAATGTAATTACGTTTATTTTACCTCCTCTGTAAGTGTATTTGCAAATGCAAAATTCATGCTGACCGACTGATACCAGCTGTATACCACTATCGCGTTATATAATCATATATGTATATATAAATAATTATGTATATAAATGTATAAATACCTCAGAGTGATATTATCACCGAAAAAAAGAAATAACTGATAAGTATATAGATGAAGCAGTTATTGAAAACTATACGCGTAAAAAGGTAAATTAATTTATATATAATATTCATTTAAAAAATATAATATATGATTTAAATAATAAATATATTCTTCAACTACCGCATTCACTATAAGTATTTTAGTACAATAATACTATGT